TAAGATGCCCTCCTTTTCTTTTCTCTTTTGGAAGGATAGATTAAGTGAGTAATATACTGCAGCTGTAAAGGTGAAACATTCAGCACATTACGATTTGCTCAACGTGCAAAGGCAATCAAGAACAAGGCAGTTGTCAATGAAGTCATGCAGGATGATGTAAATTTTCTGCGTGAAGTGATTCGACAGCTGAAGGCATGTTCTCATAATCCCCCCTCCCCACATTTAAATCAGTCATGTTAACAAATGTGTGAACAGTGAACCTCTAACAAATGTGGATGGAATAATGCAGGATGAACTCCATCGAATGAAAGCTAATGGAAACAACCAAACTGACCTAAATGCAGGTTACTCAACTGGATGGAATGCTCGTAGAAGCTTGAATTTGTTAAAATTTAGCCTCAATCATCCAAGGGCATTACCTCATGTTGATGAAGATGGTGATGAGGAGATGGAAATTGATGAGGAAGCTGTTGAGAATCTTTGTGCTCAAGTTGGTTTGCAATATGCAGATATATATAACCAATCAAATGAAGTGGCCAAACTAGAGATAGATGAATCAGATTCAGGAACAGCCACATCCAAGATTGGATGTGTTTGTGATCCAGGACTTAATGCATCTGAATGTGGCAAAGCACAAGATGTTGAGGATCAGCACATTGAGGAAGAAATATCCGATGAGCCTAGAACCTCAGAAAGAATGAATGTTGATTGCGATGAACCTGCTACAAACACCCCAAACATTATTATTGCTCATGATAGTGTCAAAGAGAATCCAGGCCATCTAACTATTGAAATAACTGATGATGATTCCTCTGGGATTATTAAATCCCCAAAGTCAAGTGTCTCGCCTAAAGTTAACCAGAGTAGGAAGAGTTTGAGGACATCATCTGTGTTTTCTGCTTCCCAGAAAGATCCTAAGGATGATGGCCCAGAGGTTATGAATGTATCTTTCACACCAACAGAACATTTGGCAGCTAGCCTCCATCGTGGCCTTGTGGCTATTGGTCGGAGTTTAGCATTGAGAAGATCATCATATCATTTTTCATTAAAACCTGCTGATTCTAAGCCATCTCTTTCGTCATTTAAAGTTGATGTCGGGATTCAAACATTCCCTCAAGATTATGAGATTCAAGGAGAAGATCTTTGTACTAATTGTAAGCGGAGAAAAAACCTGGAGGGTGAAGATATTGATGAAAGTTCAAACTTACAGTTAGTATTATTCAATGAGTCAGAAGCTTCTGAGAAAACCAAGAAGCAAGTTCCAAAGGTAATAGGTCTTAGTCATTGATAGCGTTGTAGATTTATATCTTCAACATAATTTACATGATTTTACTTTTCTATTGCTCAGGCAGTGGAGAAGGTTTTGGCTGGATCTATCAGGAGAGAAATGGCTCTTGAAGAGTTCTGCGCTAAGCAAGCTTCCGAGATAACGCAGTTAAACCGTTTGGTAGGTTTCTTAGTAATTGTAACCAGTGGCTAACTGTGGCCGTCAACATTGTGAACAGTTGACGTTATGTTTATCGGGTTATTATTGACAGGTGCAACAGTACAAACATGAGAGAGAATGCAATGCAATTATAGGACAGACAAGAGAAGATAAAATTCTTCGCCTTGAGAGCCTTATGGATGGTGTTTTACCTACTGAGGAATTCCTGGAAGAAGAGCTAGCTTCCCTCATGCATGAGCACAAGGTATATGCTTGCTCTTTTAAGATTTTTTAGATAAACATTTTTATGCATCTATGACTTACCATTTGCCTTCAGCTTTTGAAGGAGAAATATGAGAACCATCCTGAGGCTTTAAGAACAAAGATTGAGTTAAAAAGAGTTCAGGATGAGTTGGAGCAATTTCGAAATTTTCATGATTTGGGTGAGAAGGAAGTATTGTTAGAAGAAATTCAAGATTTAAGGAACCAGTTACAGTGTTACATAAACGCTTCTTCCACATTAGCTCGAAGAGAAAATTCTGTACTGCAGTTGACATATTCATGTGATCCTAATGGACCTCCACCTCTTAGTGCAATACCCGACATGAGTGAGGAGAGTGCCGAAGAGAAATTCGAACAAGAGAGAATTCGGTGGACCGAAGCAGAAAGCAAATGGATTTCTCTTGCACAGGAACTGAAGACTGAACTCAATTCTGCCAGGTTGCTGGCTGAGAAAAGGAAGCAGGAACTAGATATGGAGAAGACATGTGCAGGAGAATTAAAGGAAGCAATGCAGATGGCAATGGAAGGACATGCAAGAATGCTTGAGCAGTATGCAGATCTTGAAGAAAGACATATTGAATTGCTTGCAAGGCATAGACGGATTCAAGAGGGAATAGATGATGTTAAAAAGGCAGCCGCAAGGGCTGGAGTCAGGGTTGCTGAATCCAAGTTCATAAATGCCCTTGCTGCTGAAATTTCTGCATTGAAAGAGCAAAGGGAAAAGGAGAGGCGATATTTTCGGGATGAAAATAAAGGACTCCAGGCTCAATTGAGGGATACTGCTGAAGCAATCCAGGCTGCAGGTGAAGTGCTTGTACGGCTAAAAGAAGCCGAGGAAGCTGTAGCTGCTGCTCAAGTATGCACTTTAACTTCACTGCTTGATATTATGATTGTTGTCACATATGATGTTCTCATTTCCATCTGTTTTAAATAATTGCAGAAGCGAGCAAGGAAGCAGACAAGAAACCGAGAAGGCTCACAAAAAGATCAATAAATTAAAGCGAAAACACGAGCATGAGATTAGCATTCTTAATGACCTGCTTGCGGAGTCACGTCTACCTAAAGAAGCAATACCACCTTCTTATGACAAGTTTGATATTCCCAAATATGATGCAGTTGAGGTCCATGATGCAGGTGATCAGCGATGGCGAGAAGAATTCAAACCATTTTATAACGGCGAGGATGGCGAGTTATCATCGAAACTTGCAGAAAACTCGTCATGGTTCATTGGTTATGATCATTGCAATATATAGGTCAACATTAAGTGGAGCAGCAATATGTGTGTATTTATGTACGATTACTTATAATTTTTTGTTGTTCATCTGGGTACAACAAGTTCTGTCGCCAATGGGGGACCATTATGTATATATCTTGGTTCACTTGTTTGGTTTGTAATCAAATTCTGATTCTTTATTTATTTAGAGTTAAATGAATTATTTATCGTGTTTCGTCCTTCATTCTATATATATTATTTATCCTTTATAATGCTTTGACGCATCTTTTTTTTTTTTTTTTTTTTGGGTGGCCAGTTGTGCTTCGATGGAGCAGAAGCAGCCGCCATAGTTTATGGTTTTGGGGGTCGGATTTTACTTGAAGCTTTAACTTCAATGACGACATATGCATATATATATATATATATATATAAGCTTAATTCCACGACAAGTCCCTAAATTATACTTCTATTTTATAATGGTCTCAAACTTTAAGATAATTGTGCATTTACTGTATGAACTGTTTGGATCTAATGTATTAAAAAATTATAATATCATTAAAATTTGTTAGAATTAACTTTTTAAGAATTTATATCTAAATTCTCCAAATTAATGGTCCCAGTCAGAAAGATCTTATTGACATAATACTAATACTTTGATGATTTAATTAAAAAATTGAAATTTAAGGAACAATATAAAATATGAACCATAATTTAGAAACGTGTGGTGCAATTAAACCACAAAAATAATACGTATAAAACAGTTGAGTGACCATCAACGTGACCCCAAAGCAAACAATTCTTGAAAGAGAAAATCGCCTCAACGACCACGACCACGACCACGACCACGACCACGACCCGAGACGAGACGAGACGGCGGCGGCGGCGGCACGCGAGAGTCCCCCTTGTCCTCTTTCACTCAACAAGGAAGTGCAAAATACAAGCCTTAAATACCATTCCCAATAGTATTTCCTATGTGGGATTGAGCATTACCAACACTTGTTCCAAATCATTATTCTTCATAAGTTATCATCCATTACATATGAATTAGTCGTGTTAATGAACCAATATACCTCATTAATATATGGTATTGTTGAACAAAGAATGATGATGATGATCTTATTAAAGACCATCTAATACGAAAGAATCCAATGATAACCGATACCTTATTGTGAAACTAATTCACATAGAGGTTGTACGTGAAAAAAATCTTTTACTTTTATAGTAATATCTATCTCAATAATTTTAATATAAAAATATATTTTTTATTTAATAATAGAATTATTTCATGTATTTATCAAGTTATAATTAAATACTTATTAAAATGAATTAATTTATTATCGAATTCATATTGTAATGGATGATAACTTATGAAGAATAATGATATTGGGAACAAGTGTTGGTAATGCTCAATCCCACATAGTATTGGAAACACTATTGGGAATTAATTTAAGGCTTGTATTTTGCACTTCCTTGTTGAGTGAAAGAGGACAAGGGGGACTCTCGCGCGCCGCCGCCGCCGTCTCGTCTCGGGTCGGGTCGGGGTCGGGTCGGGTCGGGGTCGGGTCGGGTCGGGTCGTGGTCGTGGTCGTGGTCGTGGTCGTGGTCATACGTGTCTTCGACACGTCCGCGCGGATACTATCTTTTTAGAGAAAATTCTTAAGAAACAAAATTTTTTTAACTATTCTTTTGACCGTTGCGATTTCCTTTTTAACGTTGCGATTTTCTAAATCGCGTTGCGATTCTCTCAATCGCATTGCGATTCTCTCAGTCGCATTGCGATTTTCTTCTAAATCGCGTTGCGAACTTGGAAGCTCGCGTTGCGCTTTTCTTTTGACCGTTGCGATTTTCTTTTTAACGTTGCGATTTTCTAAATCGCGTTGCGATTTTGATATCGCGTTGCGATTTTATTGGTCATTTTGGCAAATCCAAAAAAAGTTGATTAAAATCGTATATTATAAGGTATTTTTGGTCACTGAGGCGATTTTCTCTTCTTGAAAACCTAACTTGCCTTAGGATACAAGCCAACATCGATCACCATTGTCATCTTCCTTCCGCTAAATTCTATAATAATCATCGATTTAATTATGTATCTGTATATCCATTTCCACCACTTAAATTTTCCCACAAATGAGTTCAAATAATTGCACCAATGGCCCCTCTCAAAATCAACCAATCGCAATTACATCCGTTGAGATATCAATTCACTCTCTCATAAAAAAACTGGTACAAGAGACAGCAATGGCAACACATGTTCAACCCAAGATCATCACCACCACCAAGCAAAGCACCCTGGAGAGATCACTTGGCCGAATTTCTCGAATCAATTCAAATCCGAATTCTAGCGATATCATTGCTTCTCGCTGACCTGATTCTCACCGTCCTCGAACTATCCTCGACGTTGGTTTCATGTACCAAAAACGTTGCTTTCGGCTAAGACGGTGGCTTTAGCGGTGGTTCTTGGCCCCGGAGGGTTCTTGAGAAGGCCCGGCAACGTTGTCGACGGCGTCGTTGTCATTGGAGCACTGGTTTTGGAAGCCATTGTGGAGGCGAAAGGCGGAGGATTGCTTGTGGTAGTGAGTTTATGGAGGGTGGTGAGGGGGGTGGAAAGTGCATTGGAGTTGAGTGATGAAGCCATTGAAGCACAGATTGAAGGCATCGTTTACCAATTTGAAGCACTCAGAGATGAAAATTTGAGGCTTTTGGAAACCATTGCTAGGAAAGATGAGACAATCGAGATGCTGGAGAGAAGTCGATCAATATAGGCATGCTATAAATCCGAACGAACAGAACCATATCGGTATCGGTCGTGCCTACCGATCAAAATATTGTTTCAAAATAGTACCGATCAGAACATCATTTTTACTGATCGTGATTCAAGACCGTTCACCGGAGTCTATAGTCATGAAAGTACACTAGTGTAGACACTAATTTTCGTTCATTTTTTTTCCGGATATTTCTATATATTATATAATTTGCAAGCGGTTTGAAAATACGTATATAATATATATGGTTTTTAAAACACTTTTAAAAACTATATATTATATATATTTTCAAAACATTTTTAAAAATATATAATATATAATTTTTGAAAAACATTTTAAAAATATATAAAATATAATTTTTGAAAACATTTTTAAAAAAATATAATTTTAAAAGAACTTTTAAAAATTATTAGTTTTTTGAAAACATTTTTGAAAATTTATATATAGTATATAGTTTTTTAAAAAATAAACAGTTTTAAAATATATATATATAGTTTTATTTATTATTATTCACCCGTTTTTATTAATATTAATTATTATTTTTTTGTTTTTTAGGTAATTGTTTTGGTCCAGCAACAGTCCAAATTGGGCCTGAATCAGCCCGTAGCCAACATCCAAAGGAGATAGGGTTTACACACGTTTAACACAGGCGGTGCACAGGGAAAACCCTAAGACTCATTTGTGCAGCCAGATCTGGACGTTGGATCTGACCCAATCCAACGGTCGAGATCAAATCAAGGAATATTCCAGAAGTCACACCAACAGTCACAGACGGCGCGAGATTTCCGTATAAAGACCCCACCAAGCCACTACAAGGGGATCAGGGATCAGAGAACACAGGACCGGAAAAAATGTACATCAACGGAGATAACCCCCGAGAACACAGTAAACAAACAACCATCACAGTGAGATAAAACCACGATACCAATAGAGAACCATCAGCCACAAACGAGACCATCGATCGGGAACCACGAAACCCACGAGTAAACTAAAAAACCAACAGAATCAACGAGTACACCAAACAACAACAGAGATATCAGCAGAGAAATACAACCAAAGACACATATCACAACAACAAAAAGAGCAGTGAGCGAAGCAAAAACTTCAACAACCGCGTCGGAGGTCAGAAAGTCACCGACGGAAAAGGTGAAAACGAGGTTTGCATATTAGATATACGGTTATTGGGGTCGATTTGGAGTGTTTGGTGGCTAGTTTTGGGTTTACGGGGTTGAGAGCAACGCGTGAGGGGCATTTTTGTTTTTTCGGCCACCACCAGTGGTGGCCGATGGAGACGTCTGACGGTGGTCGGGAATCGCCTGAGGGGAGGAGCTTGAGAGGTTTGAGAGAGTTATCAGAGAGAACACGGCGAAAATAAGAGAAATGAATTGCAAGGAGGCTTATTTGGGCATTTATATACGGAGGACCGGAGTGCAAATAGATGATTTCTAAATCCTCTCCGCAATCCCTATAGCTTTGAATCGCTTTACAATTCGGTCATCAGTTGTAATTTGGCCTCGAAATTTTTAATTTTATCAATTTGACCCTGGTTTATATTTTTACATTTTTGTGAATTGGCCACTCACTTATGATTTTATTTTGCAGGTCATTTTTCTAATATCAATTTAACCCATTAATTCCAATTTTGTTCAATTTGATCCTTCAAGTTTATTTATCATTATTAGTATTATTTTTTTCATTAGTATTGATTTCGAACTTTAATTCTTTTTGATTCCTTTACTATTCTTTTTTTCATTAGCATTTTTTTCTTTATATATTTTTTAAAAAAATCCAATTTTTATTTATCATTTTTTTCTATTATTTTTATTTTATTTTTAAGCTTATTTTATTTTTTTATTTATTCTTTTCCTCTTTTTTCTTTTGTATTTATTTTGATTTGTTTTTTATTTGTTTATTATTGAATTATCTTTTTAACATTTTTTATCTTTTTTCAGAGAAATTTTAATCGATCAAAGGTAAGTAACTCGAATCGGATTTTTAAATTTCAATTTAAATTTTTAATTTTTGCAATTAAAGACAACCGATAAATTAATTGGTACCGAAAGGGCGGTTCAAGGGTGCTAATCCTTCCTTGACCGTAACCGACTCCCGAACTCGACACATTTCTGGTACAACGCAGACCAGGTAAGATGGTGTCCGACCCACCTAAATTCATTTTAAAATGGTCGGTGGCGACTCTAATCCAATTCATTCAAGTCGAAGCCCAATTCCGGGTCCAATCGAAAGACGGCTCCGACACACTAGGGATGCAAATCTTTTTTTCCTCATCCTATAGACATATACTTGTTTTTATAATTTTTATTTTTATTTTTTTAATAAAACCAATTATCTTCATTTGTCACGTCATTACTCAACATATAATTTTAAATTAATATCGTGAACTATCATATAAATATCATGAATTGTCACCTTATTTGAATATTTTTTTGGAAAACTTATTTAAATATTTAGCCTAATAATAAAGATACATTTATATATTTAATACTTATCTATTTTTCATAGTTAAATTAAAAAAACATTAATTAAATAAATAAAACATAATTTCGAATAAAAAACCACTCCGAAATAGAAGATATATTGTCCAAAGTCCAAACCCGATTCTGATCGGGCCAAGTCGACCCAGCCTGACAGGTCTAGGGTCCAAAACAAAACAACAAAACAAGCAAGGTTATAGAGGGACCCACTGCCCACACCGATCTATATAAAATAATAAAACGGCCCAACACATCCCGTGATTCTGGTTTGGATCTTGTGAACACTTGCCACGTTACTTTGGACCCACGTAACCCTCAATCTTTTTCTAGTATAGAAATAATTAAAAAGGATGCGAAAAATAATTATAAATAGGAAATATTATAAGATGTTAAAAATATTTATAAATAAAAATTCAAAATCAATATAAATATAAAATAATTTTAATATAATTATGATAAGATAAAATATACGAGCACAAATTACAAGTATAAATTTTATAGTATATATTAGAAAAATTATATAAAAACATAACTTCAATAGTAAAAAAATATTATTTATATTTAAATAATTACGTATAATATATATATATATATTATCAATCAATTAATTTTTTTAACACCCATATTATTCAAGAAAATATCTAAAAGAATCTTTCCTTCTTTGTTTTTTTATTTCCTGGTAAAAAAAAAGGGTAGTCCTTAATATTTTTATTTTTTTTATTTTGGAAAATCTTCTAAAGACACCTATGGGTAAAATGTAACTCATGTAAACATATAACTTATTATAAGTTCATTTGTTTACACAAAGATTTGATCATAGGTTGGATTTTATGGTAAATTATATGTTTAATACTCTAACTATTACTTTTGTTTTATTTTGGTCACTCATTAATTTTTGTTTTAAAATCATACTTAATATTATGTTTTTGTTTCATTTTTGTCACTCGTCGTTAAAAATTTAATGGCGATGTTAGGTATGATTTTGAAGAAAAAAATAGTTAAGTGAGCAAAATGGAACAAAAATGATAATTGAAGCATTAAATGTGTAGTTTACCCAAAATTTTATGCTTAACTATCATTTTATATCAAAGGGTAAACTACATGTTTGGTAACTGAAGTTTACTCTCTCTCTCTTATTTCACTCAATGTCTTTCAATTTTTTTAATTTACTCACTGAACTTTATGGATTGAATTTTTTCAGTAACTCTACCGTTGAATTTTTTCAATTGTTATTACATGGTCGTATTTTAATCAAAACGACATAGTTTTAGTCTAAATTTTTTTCTTTAGGAATTCAAGCTTTGGATGTAAGTTGTCATGTCTTAACCTCGTTTTATTATTTAACGGCTGAGTGACCGAAAAAAATTTAATCTATAAAGTTCAATGAGTAAATTGAAAATATTAAAAGTACAATGCGTAAAATAGAAAAGAAAGTAAAATTTAGCTACTAAACTTGTAATTTACCCTACATCAAACTCAAAAGGCCTATTACATTATCAACTTCCAAATCGTCATCTCAAAGCGAGTAAGTTTAATATCTTTTATTAGTTTACAATGTGAATATTATGAGGTAACTATTTTATGGTGGAAGAATGCAACCTACATGTGAATAAGCTTAATAATTTAAAATTTGGATTATTTCGTAGTGCATAAAATCCAGAAGATACATGGTTTTCAGAATCGGATCAATTAACGAACCGGTCATACTATCAGTTCGCTGGTTCAATCGGTCGAACCGGTTCGACCGGTCGAAAGAACCGAACGACGTCATAATTATTTAAAAAATTAAATAAAAATACAAAAAATATTTAATAAAACTTAATTTTGTATATGACAAGTCATATTCAAAGCAAGTCATAACATATATGAGTTAAAAACCATAAAATCAAGTGAAACAAAATGATTCAAATTAACTACAACATAATATTTAAGGTAAAACATATTAAATAATAAATATAATTATATAACTATAATTAAAAAATAAATTTGGGGCTAAAAAAATCATAACAAAATGATATTGTTTGGTTTAATTTTTTTAAAAACAATCTCACATGGCTAAGAAACATAGAAGAACATCCCAAAAGTCTATTTAGTAAAAATATGAGAACAAAACAATCTCACATGGCTAAGAAACATAGAAGAGCATCCCAACTAACTTCTATAAATAATAGAGGTAATTTGACATTCAAAATCATGGAGACTTTTGGTGAGCATAGAGTGAACTATTCTTTCACTTCAATCAAGCTCGAATTTCAGGCTTCAATCGAACTTCTAAATTTTTTTTGAGTTCAAGCCTTTTCGAGTTCAAGTTTTAATATTATATTTCAAATTCGAGTTGAACTCGAACGGTTCAACGGTTTTGGCCGGTTCACTAGTAACGATTCAACCAATTTAATTTGAATCGAACTAAATAACGATTTCCGATTAAACCGGTCGATCCGGTCCGATTTTCAAAACAATGAAAAGAGAAAAAACAATTGACAGATAAGGGAAAGCGAAGGAACGACGAAAGAAAGAAGCGACAGATTTGGTCACAGGCAACGCGAAGCAGGGACAAGACAAACGGCTTTGAAATGGGAATATTGTCAGCAGACCAACTCGTTTTGTTTGGCCACCAAATCCCTCATCACTTCCTTTTTAGATTCTCTTATCTTTTGCCCTTCGTGTTTTAACTGTCCACCCAATTCCAAAGGCTAAACTACACGTTTAATATAAAATTATCACTTTTATTTTATTTTGGTCACTCAACACTTTTTTTCTTCTCAAAATCATATCTAATGTTAAATTTGATTTTATTTTAGTCGTCCAATGTTAAAAATTTAAGAGCACCACTTCCTTATGGTGACATGTCAATATCATCTTTAATTTTTTTAACGATGGGTGACCAAAATGAAACCAAAACATAATGTTAGGTATGATTTTTAAACAAAAAATAGTTCGGGTCACCAAAACGAAATAAAAGTGATAGTTGGGGCATTAAATGTGTTGTTTACCCAATTCTACTTCGGCTTAATATGGTTTGTATTAAGAGTAAATATTCGATCGAGTCAAATTAAAAAAAAATAAGTTATTTAAGTTAATGTGTATTGTTTTATAACTTATATTTTATTTAATTTTCTTATTTGAGTCAAGTTTTTGAAATTCAAGTTAAATCGAATCGAGTTGGTCGAGTTTCTGTTTAAATTAAATTATAAATATTTATAGCAGTATAACATTATTTGATTTTAATTTAAATGAATTGCTATAACTATAACTATATATATATATATTTCTAGGCCTATAAACGAACGGAACGCACATGAACGAAGGTATGTTCATGTTCGTTCATTTAATAAATAAACAAACATAAACGAACACGAACATAAACGAATAATTTTTTTTTGTTCATGTTCGTTTATTAAGGAATATAACTTGTTCATATTCGTTCGTTTAATAAATAACCGAATACGAACATAAACGAACACGAACATAAATGAACACGAACATAAACGTTGGAGACCCTACCTTCTGTTGTTCTTTCATGAAAAATAGTCGACAATGCAAATCAATCAAATCTACGCTATTCTAATAAATTCATCGGCTAAAAGTTTTGTGACATCAATGTCAGACTTTAGTGATGTTTGTTAATAATGGTCATTTCCGTTGACAGAGTAGAAAATTTAACAGCATGAAGATTTCGAACGGTACAAATTGGACTACAAGGCAATAACATAGATCCGAAATTCCTTCGATGCTACATATCGTAACTGATATTATTGCTAAACCACCACTCAAAATTTTAACGTACCTAAAGTCTACTCCACAACTAAAGGTCACACAAGAACTATGAAAACAAAAGTTCATTGTCAAAGTGTATTTTCTACTTATTAATGGGTTCTTCCTGAAAAATCCATTACTTCCGCTATTACACTCTTTTTCAGAAATTGCATAGAAACCTTTGTTTTGTTTTCTGGCAAATTCTATATATTTTCTCTTTACTGATGCTCATATACTTCCGATTGTTACCTTTATCTTCCCATCTTTATCTAGAAAGAAGTATGATGTTTTCTTGAGTTTTAGATGTGAAGATACCCACAATAACTTTATATATCAACTATTAAGCCAAATAAAACAGAGAAAGAGATGAAAACAGACCTGTAAAATTCAGATTGCACTATAATATAACTTGTTTTGAAGCTTTCAGCGATCGTCTCCACTCTCCAGTGAATATTAGGGTTTGAGAAAAAAGTGGGGAAATGAATATAGGTGCGAGTTGCCTCACGAGTTAATATATTGGATTTAATCTCCAAATAAAATTGGGTTAATTATGGAGTTGGTCATCAGAATATCAAATTAATTAATATTTTTAAGATACTTACAAATTGGTCACCAAAATTGATTTAAGAAGACTGGGTTAAACATAAATGAATGAAAAAAAAACGAACATAACCGAACAAACATAAACGAACATAACCGAACGAACATAACTGAATGTTCACGAACGTAAATGAACGAACGAGACCTATGTTCATGTTTGTTCATTTAATTAAACGAATACAAAATCTTGTTCATGTTCGTTCATTTAATAAATAAACACACATAAACGAACTTCCCACCGCACGGTTCATGAACGGTTCGTTGACGTTCAGTTCATTTACAGGCCTATATTTCTCCGTATTTTATATATGCGATAGACATATATTATATAAAGTTAAAAATTCAATTCAAACATAAAAATGAATCTATTAATTATAAAAAAATTCATATAATTTAAATTATATTTTATAACTTAACTAAAATTTATTAATTAAATTAAATAAAAAAAATTAACATTAAATAAAAATTATTTTTTTCTAATTGAATTGAATTTTTCTCCCTAGTTTTCACCAGTTGCCTTTGATTCACCGTTTTCGTACAGTTTATCAACCTTGGCTTACATTTCATAAGCAGCACTGACACACTGACACTGCAGTTTTCAGTTTTCTTCACCAAAATTACTGTTTTTTGCATGCTTTGATGCTCTCATAATCTTTGATTCTTTCCATTTCACTTCAACGGCAATGAGAAGAAGAAAACAAACAATGGGGTTTCTGCAACTCTCCACTCCTGCTTCTTTCAACAATGGCGATCTGCATGGGGAACAACGATGATCCATCGTTCCAACTAAACGACGACGTTCTCGGCCTCATCGTCTTCAAATCGGGCATCGAAGACCCTTTTTCGTATCTCGAATCATGGAATGAAGACGATAGCTCGCCCTGTTCATGGAGGTTCGTTCAATGCAGCCCTTTCAATGGCCGAGTTTCGGAGATATCTCTTAATGGTTTAGGGTTGTCTGGAAAGATTGGTAAAGGGCTTCAAAAACTGCAGTATTTGAAGGTATTATCGTTGTCTCACAACCATTTTAATGGCTCCATTGATGAACTCGGCACGATTTTCACTTCTCTCCAAAGTCTTAATCTCAGCCACAACGGATTTTCCGGTAAAATCCCAGACTTTTTGGTTATGGATTCGATGAATTCTCTTGATCTTTCCGGGAATTTTCTCACCGGTCCGATCCCAGACGGTTTCTTTCAAACTTGTTCGTCACTTGAATTTCTCTCTTTAGCCGAGAATTTACTCGAAGGACCATTGCCTTCGACATTATCCAAATGTTCCAAGTTGAACAACCTTAATCTCTCCAAAAACCAATTTTCCGGAACCATAGAATATCTGGGTTTTATGAACAAGCTTCAAACTGTACATCTTTCGTACAATTCATTTTCCGGGAATATCCCAGAAAAGGCATTGGCAGCCATTGATGACCTTAAAGAGCTTCATTTACAAGGTAACCTTTTCACAGGACCAATTCCAGATTCAATGCAAAGCCTAAAAAGCTCCATTTCTTCCATCAATTTATCAAACAACATGTTCACCGGCGATTTCCCTCAATGGATCGGTAACCTCAGCAACTTGGAACACCTGGATTTTTCAACCAACAATTTGACTGGGAATCTTCCGTCGTCGATAGGTAACCTGAAAGGTCTAAAACAACTGAAATTATCAAACAACAAGCTTGAAGGCAATATCCCACCATCATTAGCTTATTGTTTCCAGTTATCGGCCATCGATTTAAGAGACAATGACTTCAAAGGCAGCATTCCACCTGGTTTGTTTCAGCTCCAATCTCTACAGGATTTAGATCTTTCAAGGAACAGTCTTCAAGGAAATATAACTCCAGAAATGGGTGTTTTTGCGAAGATTCAGTACTTGAATTTGTCATGGAACAATCTTCGATCGAGGATTCCACTGGAGATTGGTTTATTCCGGAATCTAACGGTGTTGGATCTTCGAAACAATGGCTTAATTGGTGGTATTCCTGGGGATTTATGTGAAGCTGGAAATTTGGGTGTTCTTCAATTGGATGGAAATTCATTGACTGGACCAATTCCAGATGAGATCGGCAACTGTTCATCTCTCTACTTGCTGTGAGTCTGCTTTTTCTGATTTTCCTTTTTCATAATTTTCTCCCGATTCAATTTCTTTGGTTAAATTTCTTGACTGGTCCCTATTCTATGGATTAAAAATAATTCAATCCCTTTACCATAACAAAGAAGAATTTAATCCTGCTTTAATTTTTAAACTTCGGCAATATTAAACGTTAAAAACATTCACGTGGTGTAGGTAGTGTATGAGAACAATAATTTTACAAATAAGAGGGAAGAGTAAATATTGCATCTAGGAAAGATGTATAATTGAGTGGTGGAGGATGATGATGGAACGGAATGAAAATGGATTAGTAGGATTAAATTGGTGTAATATTTAAATATTAATGGTTATTTTTAAAATTAAGACTAAATTAAATTAAATTGTAAAAATTAAGGGTTAAAATTATTTTTATGATAATTTTGTTACTAGTTATGTTATCTCTCTTTCAACCAAATAACAGAAATGGATTAACTTGTTAATTTGTATAAGTCAAGTAGTTATCTTATAACTTTTTATAATTAGAGACTCAACCAAAAATATCTTATAATAAAAAACTATTTATATATTTTACTTTTAAAAATTACTAAATCAATGTGGAATTTATGAAATAACTTGAAATTTAGGTCTTGAACTGATATTATTTTGTAATATATTTGTGTGTAGGAGCTTGTCTCACAACAGTATAAGTGGTTCAATCCCCATATCAATGTCTAAATTGGGCAAACTCAAGACTCTCAACTTGGAACACAATGAACTGAGTGGAGAAATACCACAGGAGCTTGGATCTTTGGGGAATCTTCTTGCTGTAAACATATCATATAATCAACTTACAGGCAGGCTTCCAACAGGAAGCATATTCCCAAGCTTGGATCAAAGTTCTTTAATGGGAAATTTAGGACTTTGTTCACCATTGTTGAAAGGACCCTGCAAGATGAACACTCCGAAACCTTTGGTTCTCGATCCCGATTTCTATAACGACCAAATGGGTGATCATAGGCGAAGAAACGAGTCCTCGAGTACCACGAGATTTGACCATCGTATGTTCTTTAGTGTTTCAGCAATCATTGCGATTTCGGCAGCTGTTTTGATTGTGTCTGGTGTGATCATCATTAGTCTCTTGAATGTTTCAGCTCGTCGGAGACATGCGATGGTAGAGGCTGCGCTCGAAAGCCTGTGTACGAGTTCTACGAGATCGGGAAGTTTGCCAACGGGGCAGCTGATCCTGTTTGATTCGAAGCTATCACCTGATGGGATTGACAATCCTGAATTCCTCCTTGAGAAAGGGTCCGAGATTGGCGAAGGAGTATTCGGATCGGTTTACAAGGTCTCATTGGGTGCACAGGGAAGAATCATGGCAATCAAAAAGCTCGTGACATCGAAAATAATCGAATATCCTGAGGACTTCGACCGAGAAGTTCGAGTTTTGAGCAAAGCAAGGCATCCGAATCTGATAGCATTAGAAGGATATTATTGGACTCCTCATTGCCAACTTCTGGTTACAGAGTATGCACCTAATGGTAACTTGGAGACCAAGCTCCATGAAAGGCTAAGTTCTACCCCAGCACTTTCTTGGTCCGACCGGTTCAAAATTATTCTCGGAACAGCGAAGGGGCTCGCACACTTGCATCACTCCTTCCGACCACCGATAATTCACTACAATATGAAGCCATCTAACATCCTGCTCGATGAGAATAACAATCCGAAGATTTCAGATTTCGGGTTGGCCAGGCTTCTAACGAAGCTTGAAAAGCATGTGATTAACAATAGGTTTCAGAGTGCAGTAGGATATGTTGCACCAGAGCTAGCATGCCAGAGCTTGAGGGTTAACGAGAAATGCGACATATACGGTTTTGGAGTGTTGATCTTGGAGCTTGTGACCGGACGATGGCCGGTCGAGTATGGTGAAGATAATGTTGTGATACTAATCGACCATGTACGAATTTCGCTTGAACAAGGCAATGTGTTAGGTTGTGTGGATAAAAGTATGGCTGATTATCCCGAAGACGAAGTGTTGCCGGTGCTGAAATTGGCGTTGGTATGCACCTCTCAAATACCATCCAGTAGGCCTTCCATAACGGAAGTGGTGCAGATATTGCAGGTTATCAAGACACCAATCCCACATCAATTGGAAATATTCTAAGATATAAGCTTTTAATTACGCTCAGTCTTGTCGAAAACTATTTGCTTAAGTTTTGCTCATTTTCTCCTAATAATTACTATCACTTTACTTCTTGTTTGGTTTTCTTAAAGCTATAAGATTTTTGGGTAAATTGTACCTATGACCACTTAATTATTGTTCAGATCATTTAACTATTTAATATTGTCAATCAAGTCACTAATTGTTAACGAAGTAACTAACTGTTAAAAGAATTAGTATAATTATACATTTACTCCTCAATATTTACACATTATATCAATTTTATCTTCAATTTAATTTAACTAATTAAATTTAATATCCAATTAACTTATGACATGTATCATAAAATGATTTAATTAATTTATTTAATTCAATTTATCTTCTCCTAGTAAAGTGGTGAATCACTTAGTTAACTCCAATGCTTTTAGTCTTATCACCTTTTCGTGCTTGTATACTTTAAGTCATCACTGCTACATTTCTTTCCAAACAAATGAGCATTTTTCTCTTTAATATGTGAGGGACAGATAAAGAGGAGCTAAGGATTCTGCGTTTATAAAGTTATGAGTTTCCTTTTCATATTTTTCATGAGTAAGATGGAAAGAAGAAGATGCGAGTTTGTTGATGGCGTCGACTACAACTCGATTGTGAGATGATGATAGTGACCTGAGTATGCTTTGCATCTGCCACTGGATGATGGTGACGGTGATACTGATGAGACATCATTTTTACATAAATGTAAAATTGTTAATGAAGATGCTTGTATGATGTAATATTGTTAATGAGAATGCGTGGATGATGTAATACAGGACCACAATGAAAAGAAAATGAAGGACAAGAAGAAGGAAATGTAAAAAAATGGAAATGAGACTTTTCATTATTAAAACTTGGGTAAATCACGTGTTTAGTATTTATATTATCAATTTTGACTCATTTTGGTATATAAACTTTATTTTTTTTAAATCATATATAAAGTTTAGTTTTAGTTTCATTTTAGTACATTTTCATTTTAAAATTTTCATTTTATTTCATTTCAATATACTCGTTCAAAATTTAACGTTAAGTTTTGAAAAAATGAAATGAAATGAAATTTTTTTGACAATTTGACAAATGTTTTTCGTCATTGACCGTTACGGTGCTAAAGTGACGATCTATAGTACTGATGTGACGATCCATAGTACTGATGTGACAATCTATAATGGTTAATAGCGTGACGAATAACATGACAGATGGAGTATCACGTCAGAATCGTGGATCGTCATATCAGTACCATGAACTATCAAATCAACATCGTAATGGTTAACTACAGAAAACGTTGTTCAAAGAGCCATATATATTATCATGCAGCTGCCTGTGCGTGTCTCATGGCTTTGTTTGTTTTTGAGCAATTTGTTAGGTTTGGTGGTTAGTAGCTGTGTCAGGATATAATGTCGGTGGTGTTTTCGTTCTTCTGGTGGTAATTTTGCTTCGTTCATAATCTTTTTTTGTCGTTGGCATTTGACAAAGCACATTCACCCATAAATGTAGCTGTTTGAACCCATGATTCATAGGGAGAACAATACTCTCTTTTAACCATTGAATCCACTTTATGGGTTCGAGCATCTAACTATTTCGAGAAACAAAACTGGTGAAGAAAATCATTTCTTGTAGTTTCTTTGATAATAGAATTTCTGCAGCTTCTGTGACATACGACTGTTGAGACTCTTCTATCTTCATTAGAAGTGTTTTGACTGCCACGACTGGAATTATCTGTTAGTCTGTGCTGCAGAAGACAAATCACGGGTAGCTGATTCAACACTGACGAAGTCGTCATCTCAAACCCTGGAGGCAAACGAGATTAACTGTGAGGGACCCGAGTCCAGTTTTGGAGATGGAACCAAAAAGATACTTGTATGGAATCTTGTGACCGGGTTGATGGGAGAGGATCGGAGGACTTTAGAATGCCAGATGGTGATATTTCTAAGCAAGTAGAAATCATAAAGCAACTTAAAGTACAGGATTCCAGAGCTTGAAAGACTGTACAGTCGTATTATGAAAGGCATTTTTTAAAGTAGGGACAAAGGAGTTGGAGATGATCCCAAGCCTTCAATTTTGAAGTTTTTAATGCAATTCGCAGAGGATGAGTCAAATTTCTGATCTCAATGTAGAATTTACCCTTAAATATTTAAATATAAATGGTAATTCGAATAATTTTTTATCAAGACTGTATCATAAGCTAATTTTATATAAATTTTAAATCTAGTCTTAATTGTAATCTAGAGAGGAGGGAAGGAGGACCATAGAAGAGGAAGGGAAGTGCTTATAGTAAATCTAGACATTGACTTAAAAAATACAAGGAAATAAATATGAACAACTTGATTAACCGACCAAATGTACTTGCTGATTATATCATTTAAAAGTTAGAAAATAAACAAAATAAAGGCATACATAATACATAAAACAACCAGTGACTGAGCTACATATAATTCAAGTCGATATATGTTTACTTTAAATTTTGAATTTTCTTTAGTTAATTCTTTATTTTTTAGGTGATGATCACTCTGAAATTTTATTTGTGTATACCCGAATTTTATTTTTTTGATAAATGCTTCACTTTATATATATCCAACAGAACAAAGTCAATACAATCAATCTAGGCTAAATAAACAAGCAAAAGCAAAAACAAAGTTTTACCCCAAAATACCCCCACTCATGGCTAACAGTTGAATTAAGCTGCAACCTCTAGTTCTTTGGAAACAGGCAATTTTAAAACGCATCATCTTCTTCAAACATTTCACCAATTCAGCTTCAGATCTGTAGGCACCCGTAAAAAACCTTCTATTCCTCTCTTTCCACAGTAGAGCAACACACCCATTCCAAGCTAGGCGAAACAAATGAGACAAAAGATTTCCCCCCACCTTAGCACACACCCAACTCAGCTCACTATCCCACCCCATAGCCGACCTCAAAAAATTACAGGCCCGTAGCACCCACTTCCAAACACAATTCGAGTGAGGACACTAAAAAAAAGAGGTGATCCTGAGTCTCCAACTCTCTAGAACATAACAAGCAAGTGCCATCAATATTCCAACCAAAAGAGAGTAAACGACACCTAGTCGGAAGTCTATCTAACGCCACCATCCAAGCAATCATTGAATTTTTTGAAATGTGGCCCGAGTGCCAAACCAGTCACTCTAAAGGGACATGCCCCCTGCACTCTCAACGTAGACCAAATCTCAGCTAGCATAGCAGTGGGACAAGTGATCGTGCTCCAAGTCCCAGCAGCTTCCGACCCCAGGCTTAGAAGCTTAGCCCACACCCATCCACCACGAGTGGATCTCGCAATCTGCCAAAAGGAGCAACCTCGCAAAATATAAGAATGAATACACGCAATCCAAATAGAGCCATCATTCAACGAAATTCTTATAATCAAAATCACCAAACACGCCCTATTCCAACTACTTAAACGGTAAATCCTTAAGCTCTAAACCCCCCTCATTCTTAGGCCGACAAATGACAGGACCAACTCACCTGGACACCCTTCATAGGTGTATCCTCACCTTTCCAAAAGAAACACATGGATATTTGATTTATCCGACCAATAACAGCGCTCAACAGGACCAATTGCCTCGACCAGTTGGCTTGGATCCCGAGGAGAACTGATTGAATAAGTTGATATCTCCCTGCATACGAAAGCTGTCGAGCCTTCCAACATTGCAACCTCTGAGTTATCCTATCAATAAGCGGGCCACAATCTCGAACAATAAACTTTTTGGTCATAAGAAGAACCCCGAGGTACCTCACAAGAAAAGAGCCTTTGCGAACACCAATAGCCTCAACTATCAAATTCAAAACTCCGTTACTAATTTCAAAAGAAAAAATCTCAGTCTTATTCGGATTTAGGCCAAAAATTTTAAATTGTACTCACCCATTCAAAAATTTTGTGTTATTAGCCTATGTGTTTACCTTTAAAAATATTTCTAGATCCGTAACTGATAAAACCTATATAAATAAATTGTACGAATCAAACAACCTCAATGGTTAAAGAAAGGTTATTATCCTTAAAGGCTCCGGGTTCGAGCACCAATAACTATAAGGTATTTAAACGTTCATTATCAAATGGTTGAAAGTCTTTAAAACAAATATTTAAAACATATATTACTGTAACACCCTTAACCCGCATTCATTTCCAAATACAAGTTAAGGATGCCACATTTTTCTGTTTAACCGTTATTGTTCAAAAGAGAGGAAATTTTTGTTTCTTTTAAAGTCTCCTAATTTAATATTTATTATCATACTATTAAATCGGTTAAAATCATAATGTAATATTTTAATTTCTAATTTACACCTGATCTCGCTCAATATCTAGGCAATTTAATAATATTTCATATCATAATTTAAAACTACTTAATTTAAAATTTAACCGATTTATCTTTATAACATAAAATTTCACTACACTCGTACATAACCACTTAATATCTTATCATATTTTCTCTTTTCCTTATTACATTTCTTATATTGTATTACTTCTCATTTGAGCACGGTTTATGTATTTTCTTTTTCCTAACACTATATATGAAATATCTATAATCACACTTATTTTAAAATAGATTTCTTTTGATTGTTGTCTACCACCACACGACCACCTGCTGACAATAACTTTTATTATATTATCATTATTACATATATATACGCATATTCATATGTCGATTCAAACTAATATAATTTATTGTCTATAAACCATTTAATGTAATTTACAATATTTTTATAAAATTTTACTGTAAAATATATTAAAATATTATAATAAACTTGTATTGTTTTTTTTATACTTACTTTTATTTTCCTGTACTAATCCTTTCACTGTACTATTCTTTTTTTGTATCGTTCCTTTCATCTTATTGTTCCTTTTTATGTGATGATATTGTATAATTTCTTTTATTATACTAATTCTCTTACTATATTGTATCTTTTAATATTCTATATCTTTTACCTTTTTTTATGACTCAATATATAATCATGAGAATACATGACACGTGAGTCTATGCTTAAGTATTCTATGCTATGTGCAATATAAACTGCCTGTAACTGTGTGGCACATT